CCATACAAGCCATTTGTTGACATCTTGCCACAGATTGCCTCAGACACTGCACATGGAATTATGGGCTTAATGTCTACCCTGGTGGATTTTGGACTTGCTGTGGTAGCATTCCTTTATATCCCCCTTCTTGTAATGTCTATTTTGTGTCATTGAATGTTGGAAGTGTTTCATTTCGGGCTTCAGGTATTTTGTCTCAGCAATAAGAGAAAAGTAGCTAACATATGTATTTTTATAAATATAGTACAATTTTTAAAAATAAGCTTACATCTGAAATAAAAAACAAAATAAAACTAGTTTGTAAGCTAACATTTGTATACCAGTGGATTTGAGGTTTTTCTTTCTTTAGTCACTTGCTCATATAAATAAAGACTTCTTCCTTGTCCAGGTTTGTTAGAGACTTAAAGGGCATTTATTGTGTTGATTTTGTATGTTTTGTAAGGTATTTTTTTAAATGGCAGAATTTGCCATTTTATTTTAAAAGTTAATCCTACTATAAAGAAGAGAGACCAGTTTTATGACCTCTTAGTGTGGATGTATGTGTACATGTGCACATGTGAATGTATATTTATAGTATAGCTATTATTATTTTGAGAATTATACTGATTTTCACTTTGAATTAAATTGGTAATTATGATCCACCTAGTTCACTGTAGTTAGCTGCACCATGTTGAGTGATTTGACTGAAAGACAAAGCAGAATTTTTCTTGAAATTATCAGGTCATCTTATCTGTAGTCATAAAGTGGGCACAAGTGTGGTTAATTTGTTCTTCATTTTGCTATTAAAGGACGATGTGCATACATAAAAATATATAATCTCAATTCTATAACTATGAAAACAATAAAGAAAAGTATTTAGGAAATTATATTTTAAATGAAAAAGGTAGAAATGAAAAGGTACAAAGGGAAAACTATTCTTAATCTTCTAGTGTACAGTATTTTCTATGATTTATACATATTTATATATTCTATCATTTTATTTAAAATCACATCACTAAAATTTTGCTAGTTTATTATATGCCTTACATATTTTATATACCCTTCAAACGTATAAAACATTTATTTCTATTAAGTAGTAAACTGCTGAATTAATATTTAATCCTTTATCATTTAATTTCCAGGGTTTTATCTTTAAGGACAAATTATGGAAGTGTTTCATTTTGGGCTTCATTGAATAAGCTCCTAGAATTGCAATTACTGTGTTTTGAGTTCTTAGTACTTAGACACAAACACCATCCTTAAAGGGGCTATATTAATTTTCACTTTCAGTAGCGGAGTAATACCTGCATGTCCATCTTTCAAACGCTTCATCAATATTGGCTATTATCAGTTTTTAGATTTCAATTACTCTTTGAAAACTGCTGTGTTTATGAAAGTTGTGTTTATTTATATTTCTTTTAGTCATAGTGAGTTGAATATGTTTGCTATGTACATTACCCATTTGTGTTTTTTGATGAATATCCACATTCATTACCACAGTTCACCTACAGGGTAAAAATAGCTCAGTAGTAGAATGCTTTCCTAGCACTCACAAGGCCCTGGGTCCCATCGCCAGCACCACAAAAAAAAAAAAAAAAAAAAAAAAATTGTGTGGTTTTCTTTTATTGAAATCGCTTATATTTTAAGGGCATTAAGTTTGTGTTTCTCCCAATGTAAGGCAAGTATTTTTCCCAATTTATCTGCTACGGTGTTTTTCTTGTCAGGGTGTCTTTTTGTCATGTATCTACTGGAGTGAGTACTCCTATTGCTCTTGCTCTCTCCTGAGCTACAGTGCAAACAGTGAGACAGAATATACACTGAGAATGGCTGCTGCTGTTAGATGCTGGAATGAGCCGGTCTGATGGAGTTAAGAGAAAACAGAGGTGAAACGCCTGCACCTATTCTCAATCAGCTGTAATTACAGAAGCACACTAAGCTGCTTCTTTCCCGTCTGTGCCCCTGGGGAATATGCTTGTTTACACTGTGAAGCTCATATTTCTCCCTTTACATTTACTTATTTACCACAACTTTGTGGACTGGTTTCTATATTCTGTTTGCTTCCCTCGCTCAATTTGTTTAACCCTAAATTATCATGCATACCTGAAGTGAGTCTCCATCTCCTGCCCAGAGTTAGGCACATGGCAAGAATAAAGAAACAACAAGAGGCAAAATAGTGGTGTGGCGGGGATCTGGGATGACCAGTTCGTTGTTCACAGAGGACAAAAGGCCATGCAGACAGAACTTTGGTATTTATTGATCCCACTCACACTGGGGAAAACGGCAGCTGAATGTGCCAGGCAAGTGCCTAGGCAGGCAAGGCTTGTGACAGAAGGAACAAAGCATTCTTTTGAAAGGGATGGAACAGCCAGATTTAGGTTATGGTTAGTGAGTAACCTGTTTTGTAGCCAATTCTGGGAAGGAATTTTCCTCCAGAGTGATACAGGCCTCCCTGAGACGATATCTCGTATCTTAGTCTCATTGTATCAAAGCTCCTCTATCTGAGCTCAGCCATGGTCACTGTTGACAAACAGTGCTAGTCTGCCATCAGCTGCCTGCTTTCATGAAGACACATGTGTAGCCTTGCTCAGTCTCACTAATTAAATTGAAAGCCAGTCTAGGGAAGTCACCTCTATACAGCCTGCACTGTTCACAAGTAAGCACAATCACGCTTGGGTCTGGAGCGGCTGACATGGCGCACCTCCATACCAAATCATTAGCTCATCTTTCATTCCAGTAGCACAAGGCTACGCCACCACCTCCAGGAGCTCAAGCCACGCTCCACAGAATCATTTTTCCAACAGCTCTCTGTGGATCATCCATCAGTGTACACAGTCTGTACTGGTTCCGGTTATGACTCCCAGAATTGTAACTGACTTCTCACATGGTAGCAGAAAATGCCCCCCAGCCGGTTCCTGTTACTTCTGCTTCTTAAAAATGGCTGGTCACTGTGATGCATATTGTAAGAACGAACCAAAGACAGCCAAGTACTCTGCTTCTTGCTTGCAACCCCATCACCCTCCTAAGCCTTCAAGGCCTGACATTTCTATAAAGATTGGCTCCTTGTCAGTGCCCATCCAACATGAAGTAAATCTGCCTCCAGATTCTGAGCATCATGTCAGTGTTTCGGCTGCCATAGCAGCATGGGTTGCCTGGTCATTTTAAAGGATAGTGCTGACAATGACAGTAGTAGTGTGGATAAGAAATCATGCTTCTCAACATCAGATCATCAACTTGTTGGGAGGCAAATTTATTTCGGTGTACGCCTGGCCATGTCATTTCGGAATTGTGATGAGGCAGAACATCATGACAAGAAGCACATGGGAGGCCAAAGCTCCCCGTAGCCTAGAAAGGGAGAGAAGAAGAAAGCCAAGGTCCTCATGCCACCCTCAAAGGCAAGGCCCCACCACCTCACATCCTTCCACCAGCCCTCACCCTGGTGCCACCAGTCCAACAACAACACGGGCTGGTGATGGAGCCTGACCACATGATCCCTCAGGAAACACTTAAGATCCATTCATAGCAAGGAGGAAGAGGAGAAGTGGCCAGGGATGATGGCAAGATGAGCGATGGCATTTATAAGGAGAAGCTTTTACTCTGGGACTGGAAGCCTTAGTAGGGTTTCATGGCAAAGTGTGACGTCATCATATCTTAAAAGAAAAGCTCTACCGACATGTCAGAAACAGCAGATTGAAGTGTAAAGGGTAAGAATGCACAGGGGGCTGTCACAGCAACCAGGGGAAGGGTGGTGATAGGGAGGAAAAGTCGGATTCTGGATTTAAGGTGACGCCGACCACACTTGCTAACGGGCTGGCTGTGGTATGAAGAACGATGAGGATCAGAGTGACCCAAAGAGCTGTGACTGGAGCAGCTTGAAGTTTGAAGTTACCTTTTACTGGGAGGGAAAAGAGGCCGTGCAGCCAGAACCTTGGTACTTCTTGATCCCACTCACACTGGGGAAAACGGCCGCTGAATGTGCCAGGCAAGTGCCTAGGCAGGCAAGGATTGTGACAGAAGGAGCAAAGCATCCTTCTGAAAGAGCTCAGAGAAATGAGTCAGTCAGCAATGCCCGCATGAACTCAGCTACGTAGATGGTCCTTCCTGAGTATCTGAAAATACCATATGAGGGAAACACAAATGTCTACTGTTAAACTGGAAAAAGGCGTAAAGAATTAGGTTAAACCATGACTTGTTTTCAGTAAGGACACCCCCAAAGCGTTCCTGAAAATGTGTGACTTCTGCACAGAAAGCCCCAGAGGAGAATGTTCTACATCTGGTTTGCTCTTCTACTACACTTGCAATCAGTTTCTAACGTTCACTTCAGAGAAAAACTCACTTCCTTTCATTCTTTCTGTAAAGGGAAAAATAAATGATTTTTTACAAATTTCTTCATAGAGTTGAATTCATTGCTAAAATTCTGTTTCTAATTTATGAGAATTAGTATTTGTAATTTGTAATTTCCATACACACATATTCTGATCTGCTTTCAAGGAGGTCAACATATGGGAACTTTATCATAGGCCAAGGGTGGTATGGTAGGTATCTTGTAAAAAGTCTTTTAAATTTTGAGTAACAATAATTTAAGGGAGATATAATTTAATAATTTGACACAAAACTGAGCAACTGGATATATTTGATTATCCTTATGAATCTTTTAAGAAATTGATAACTATTGTAAATTGAACCTTCAATTGCAAGTTTAGCCCTGAAGAATTTTGAAACCCATACATATATGGGTGTATGTATAGTGAATTTATTGATTAAAATCTGAAAATAGTACCACTAGATTTCAAATGACTTAGCCATACCTAAAATATTTTATATGATAAAAGTTGCCATTGGCTGAAATACAGTGACACGCTGCAAGATAATATAATATTTAGTTCTTTTTAAAAAAATTATTAACTTTGGATATGTATTACTGGGGTTAAAAAAAAAAAACCTTTCTTCTAGGCACACAATAAATCAGCACTGACAGATATGCTTTCTCCCCCTCTCCCCACCTCCTTTTCCCTCTCCCCATGAAGATGGCGCAGGAGCAGTACACGGCCACCACGGAGGGGACCCAAATAGAGAGGCCGGAGAACCAGCACGTCTACAAAATCGGCATTTATGGCTGGAGAAAGCGTTGCCTCTACTTGTTTGTCCTCCTCTTGCTCATCATCCTTGTTGTGAATTTTGCTCTGACAATTTGGATTCTCAAAGTGATGTGGTTTTCTCCAGTAAGTATTACTTTTTCCCTGTGGTAAGCTTGTCCTTCACTTTTAAGTTTATTTAAATTTATTGGTACAATTTAGATATACATAATGATCACATTCATTATAGGGAATTTGTATCTGTACCTGATATATCTTCAATCTCCATTTTTTTTCCACTCCCATCCCTCCTTTCAAGCCCCCTCCCCCTCCCCATTCACAAAGCTCTGCTTTCGTTTTTTCCCTCTTTTCTCATTTTTTCCTTTCCCTAGCCCTCCCTCTCCATCGTTCCCTTTTCCTTTTAAACAGTTCCTATTTCACAAATCTATTATATGTTTTGTTCTTATTTACATTTTCAGTTTCTCACACCAAAGAGATAATGTGATTTATACACATGTGTCTGATTTATTTCACTTATGATTGTGATCTCATGGTCCATCCACTTAGCTATAAATGTCTCAATTTTATTTTTCTTTATGGCTGAGTAATACTCCATTATATAAAAAATACACCTTTTTAATCCTTTCATTTGCTGATGGGTATTTAGGTTGCTTTCAAGATTTGGCTATTACAAACTGTGCCACTATAAACATGGATTCACATATATATTACTGTGGTATGATGCTTTTAATTCTTCCAGGAAGATACTCAGAAGGGGAACAGCCCATGTTTACTGTATTATGGAGACCTTCTTGTATCAGTTGAAGTTTCCTTTAAGTGTTAAGCATTTCTTTCTTTTCTATCTGCATCAGAACTTTCAGTAGTAAAATATATGTGCAACATTTATTTTTCCCTTTTTTATCTCAGTGTGAAATACAATTAATATTTTTGCACTGTAATTTTTTCATTGGTCATTATTTCTGTATTTCTGTATTGTAATCTTGAATTTGTGGTTAAATCAAAGTGGCTTAATGGTTATATGACACACCAATCTATAAAATTGAGTAAGTTACCTATTTTCTTAATCTCATTAACATATTTACCATTCAGATCCCTATGTTTGTCTGTTGTATGTTACTAGAATGAAATACCTGAGGCAGACTAACTCTACAAAGAAGAGAGGTTTATTCAGCTAGAGATTTTGGAGGTTTGGGGACTCAGGTCTGGTGAGGACCTTCTAGTGGGTGGTAGAAATGTATTCAGGAAGAAAAAGTCACACCACCAAACAAAAAGCCAAAGGGGCTGGGTAGAGCCTAGCTCGAGCTTTTTTAACAACCTGCTGTCAAGAACTAACCTGGATCTCTGGAGAAATAACTCAGTCTCTTCCAAGGGGAGATCCTACCCCCGCGGATCTCCCACTGGGCCCACCTGGTAAAAGTCCACATCCTCTCCCCATGCTGAGGACCAAGCCTCAAACACCTTAACCTTCAGAGGGACACACTTAAACTGTAGCCAGCCACAGCAATGCCACAACTCAGTGTTCACAGAATCCATTTTGATGCACAATAAATTCATCTATACGCTTCAACACTCAGCAGCAGGTTCAGTAAACAAAACTCCAGCAGTCCTAAGAAACTCGCATTCCATTGTAAATATCCTCATGTTTAAAGACAGCTGCATGATTTTGTATTCACTGACAGTCTGTTGTCTACTTTTTGCCTGTTTTCTGTGTGATGTTGATCATTGAATTCAGGGCGTTGTTCACGTCAGACAAGCACTATACAACTGAGCTACATCCCTAACCCCTACTTTGTGTACTTTTTGGAAAAAAAAAAACCATTTAGTATACAATACATTAATTTTTAAGACACAATGAGAAAATCTTGCTCCTGAGAACTGTGCAGGTAAGTCACTACGATCTCAGAATAGATATGAAGATTCTGAATTTGCATGAGTTTCTTCCAAGAGCAATAATTACAGTCATGTGGTCTGAAATGCCTTCCATGAGTTAATATCCTTCACTTTCTGTGCAATTATTTTTCTCTTGTCAGGTAGTAGACACACTTATTTTGTTGAGAAAATAAGTATTTCTATTCTCATTTTGCAAAGAGTTAAAATATCAGCAAAATTAAAATTTAGTTTGCAATGTATTATTTGACACACTTAGTATATATTACTATAAATTTAACGTGAACACATTTTATGCACTGCTGTTATAAAGTCATTATATTGATTATATATAAGCAAATGTTATACGGAGACACGTCAGTAGTGCTTCTCCTTCCCTCTCAGCACAGGTCTGCAGCACACGGTGCTCACAGTCCTTGGGTGGAGTTGGCTCAGGTGCATCGCACACCCTCATTCCCTTTAGCTTCTCTTCCCTCCCTGAGACCCCTCCCTTCAAATCCCGATCCCCTTCCCATTTGAGAAAACTCTCCCCATTTCCTGTAACCGATATTTTATTTTACTCTTTATTTATAATTTGGGGCTTGCATATGAAAGAAATGCAGTATTTCAGCTTGTGTGTCTGATTTATTTCACTTAACATTGTGGTCTCAAGGTGAATCCAATTTCCTACAAATGACTCACGTTTATGTTTACGGTAGAGTAGTGCTCTACTCTGTGTAAATACGTTGTGTTTGTCCATTCTTCTGTCAATGGCATATAGACTGTTTAAAGATGTAGCTGTTATACTTCAAGCTGCTATAAACATAGGTATGCAGGTATCATCACTATAATATGATATCTTTAACTCCTTCAGGAAAATACTTGGGGAGGAAAAACTGGATAAGTGGAATTTCTAGTTTTAGGTTTTTTTTAGAAATATCCTTGCTGATCTCTGCAGTGGTTGTAGGGTTCTTTTCCCCCACAGCCACACCAATATTTGTTATTATGTGATTTCTTGAGAATAGCTATTCTTTCTGGGGTAAGATGGAATCTCAGTGTAGTTTTAATTTGCATTTTTCTTATGGACAGTGATCATGAGTATTTCTTCATGTAATTATTGGCCATCTTTACTTCTCTATATTATTTACCCATTTCACTTACCCATTCTTGGATGCAGGTCTTTTATTTGGGGTAGTCTAATTTTTTAGCTCTTTATATATTCTAGATACTAGTCCTCTGACCAAGGAATATCTGGCAAAAATATTTTCCTATCCTGTAGGTTTTCCTTTCACTCAGCTGTATGTGTGCTATGCAGAAGTTTTATTTTAATTTGGTATGGTCCTGTGTGTTGATTCTCAGTACTCTTTTCTGTGCAGTGGGGGTTCTGTTCAAAAAGTCCTCGCCTACACCCATGACTTCAAGAGTTTCACCTATTATTTTCCAGCAGGTTCAGTGCCTTTGTTTTAACATTCAGCCATTTGATCCATTTTGATTTTAGCTTAGAGCATGGTAAGAGATATGTGTCTACATTCAGTCTTCTACATGTGGACCCCACTTTTGCCAAGTTTATTACAGAGGCTATCTTTCCTTCAGTATGTTTTTGGCCCCTTTGTCAAAGATCAAACACAGTAGTTGTATGTGCTTGGGGTTGTTTCTGCATCCTCTACTCTGTTCCATTGATCCTCATATCTATTTTTGTGCCAATACCATGCTGTTCTTACCACTGCAGCTTTTAATATAACTTCAAGTCTGGGATTGTGATGCCTCCCATTTTGCTGTTACTACCCAGGATTCGTTTTGCTATTCTAGGTCTCTTCTAGTTCTATATGAATTTTAGGATTGTTTTCTGCATTTTCTATGAAAAATCCTGCTAGTATTTTGATTGTGATTGTGTTAAATATGTTTCTAGATTTTGAAAGTTTGGCTATTTGACTGTATTGATTCTGCCTATCCAGGAACAGGGGATTTCTTTCCACTTTCTGATGTCCACTTTGATTTTCCTTTTCAGAGTACTGTAGCTTTCATTGTGGTGGTCTTCCACCTCATTGGTTAGGTTAATTCCTAAGTGTTTAATTTTTCTTGGTGCTATTGTGAATATTTTTTCCTAATTTCTTTCCCAGTGGCTTCATTATTAGTGTATAGGGACACTATTAATTTTTGTGTGTTGATTTTGTATCCTGATACATTACTGAGTTTTGTTATTAATTCTAAGAGTCTTTTGGTAGATTTTTGGAGGTCTTCTATGTAGAAGATTGTGTCATCTGTCAGTAATAATAATTTGACTTCTTTTTCTTCTTTTTCTGCTTATCTTGAGATGATCATGTGATTTTTGTCCTTCCTTCTGTGTATATGTTGTATTACATTTATTGATTTGCATGAATTGAACCATCCTTGTAACCCTGGGATAAAGCCTCCTTGGTCATGGTGTCTGATATATTTTGCTATTCATTGCATTCTGTTTGCCAGTATCTTGTTGAGGAATTTTGCACCTATATTCATTAAAGAGATTTATTTAAAGTTTGCTTTTTGGTTGGATCCTTGCCTGGTTTTAGAAACAAGGTAATGCTAACTCCTAGGAATAATTTTGGGAATATTCTTTCCCTTTCAACTTCATTACAGAACTTGAGGGGTATTGATGCTAAATCTTCCCTGAAGTTTTTGTAGAATTTAGCACTTAACCCAAGCAGGCCTGGGCTTTTCTTAGTTGGTAGGGGTTTTTTCACTGTCTCAATTTCATTACCTGTTACTATTGTATTCAGGGTTTTTAAATATTCTTGGTTCAGTTTTGATAATTCATATATATCTAAGAATCTATCCATTTCTTCTGAATTCTTCAATTTATGGGCATATGTGTTTGCTAAGTAGGCATTAAATCACTCTGATTTTGGCAGTGTCCATTGTGATTTCATTTTTTTAATTTCTAACTGCATTGATTTGGTTCTTTCCCTTCTTTGGTTAAATTAGCTAAGGGTTTGTCTATTTTCTTTATCTTTTCAAAGAATCCACCTTTTTTTTTTTTTTTGTCTTTTTTGAGACAGGGTCCCACTCTGCAGTTCAGGCTGGACTTGAGCTCACTTTGTAGCCCAGGCTGGCCTTGAACTCACAACAATCCTCCTGCCTCAACCTCCCAAGTGCCGGGAGTTGGTTCTGTGGTTCATTGATTCTTTGTATTTTTTCCATGGATTTCTACTCTGATCTTCACGATTTCCATCTTTGTACTAGCTTTGGATTTGGATTGTTCTTGTTGTTCTGGGACCTTG